GAAATTCGACCCAGTCGGGGTTACGCAGATTGTGACGGTCCGTCGTGTCTACGACGGTGCATGCTACAGCTCCGTCGCGGAGGTCAGAGAGTCGCTCCCAGTACCCAGATTTTCAGAGTTTAAGTGTTTTGGAACGGAGACGCTCGACGGACCGTCGTGCCTGTGACGGTTCGTCCTACCTGCCGTCGAGGGTAATGAGGAGAGAAACAGAAGAAATTACACAAGTATGGGACGACGGAGTCCATCACGGTCCGTCATTACCATGACGGTCCATCGCGTGATCCGTTGACCCCGTCAATTTTTATCAAAAATAGTTCTACTGCTCGGACCGACTAAACAGGTCGTTACATTTCAGTATCACAAACTTTGGCAATTCCTAATGAGACTAAATGAGACCTATGCTCATGCTAAGAGTCAAATTCTGATGATAATTCCTGTCCCTAGTGTTAATCAAGCCTATGCTATGATCATTAATGTTGAAAGTCAAAGGTTGAATGGTATAAGCACTGGATCCTTTTTAGTTGATTCACATTCAGAGGTTGCTCTTATGAGTAACAAAGTATCTCAAGGTCAATACTCTGGTGTAAATAGTCAAAATGGAAGCAATGGTGGTTATAGGCAGAGAAACTATGGTGATGGTAGGCCTTAATGGGAAGGCTCATCTGGTTTGTGATTTCTGTCATTTTAAAGGCCATACCAGGGAAACTTGTTATAAGCTCCATGGATGTCCCAAGAGGAAAGGAATCACCTCTAATTCATATGCCAACAATGCTACTGGAAGCAATCAAGGGAATGAGGTAAGAGCATTTGATAATCATGCTTCCTCTACTAATACTACTCCAACAGGCACACATGGTGGTGTATCCTTGTTCACACCTGAGCAGTACTCACAGATCCTTCAGATGTTAAACAAAGGAAAAGATGTAGAGCCTACTACTAATGTGGCTAATGCTAGCACTGCAGGTATGATAACAACCTTTATGTCTGATGTGGTTAACAAAAATTGGATAATTGATACTGGAGCTTCTAATCACATGGTTCATAATGCTAGTCTAATGACTCAATGTAGAAATCTTGGTGATAAGAGTAATATGCATGTTAATCTACCTACAGGAAGCCAAGCATCTATTAGTCATATTGGTGAATCCTTAGTATTTACAGATAAGACTGTAAATGATGTGTTGTTTATTCCAGAATTCAAATACAACCTACTATCTGTATCTCAGTTAACCAAGCAACTGAAGTGTGCTGTGATATTTTTTCCTGACTTCTGTGTCTTTCAGGATCTCTCAAATGGGAAGGTCCTGGGGATTGGTAAAGAAGATCAAGGTTTATATCTGCTTCAGATTGGATTGGATACTTCAGCTGACATTGGTGGTTTTCAGGCTCATAATTCTACTACTGAAGTTCCTAATATAGACAAATCTAAGGTGACTACCGCTAGTTGTAATTCTTTGTGTGATCTTTGGCATAAGAGACTTGGTCATGCTCCTCTTAAAGTACTCAGTAGAATAAAATGTTTACCTTCTGTATCTTTGGAAGATCATCATTGTACTGTTTGTCCTCTTGCAAAACAATCTAGACTTCCATTTCCTGTTAGTGTTACTACTTCTGCTGCTTCATTTGATATTGTACATGGAGATGTTTGGGGTCCTTACAGAGTTTCTAATCATGATGGCAAGAAATATTTTCTTACATTGGTGGATGATAAATCTAGATATACTTGGATTTCTTTGTTACATACTAAGTCGGATTGTCTTATAGTTCTGAAAGATTTCTTAAGTATGGTGAAAACTCAATTTGGAGTCAATGTTAAATGTGTTAGGACAGATAATGGAACTGAGTTTGTTAACTCTCAAGTATCTAGTCTGTTCAAGGAATGTGGAGTTATACATCAGAGTTCTTGTGTTTATTCTCCTCAACAAAATGGAATTGTTGAGAGAAAACATAGATCTATTCTTGATATGGCCAGGGCATTAAGGTTTCAAGCAAGTATTCCTTTGAAATACTAGGGTTGTTGTGTTTCTACAGCAGTATATATTTTGAACAGACTGCCTTCTGTAGTACTACAAAATAAGTCTTCTTTTGAAGTATTGTTTGGTAAAATACCTTCTCTTCAACATATGAGAGTCTTTGGTTCCTTATGCTATGCTACTACTCCTAAGTATTTAGATAAGTTTTCTCCCAGAGCTATTCCTGCAATACATTTAGGTTACTCTTCATCAAAAAAGGGGTATATATTATATGATCTGAGTTCTTACTCCTTTTTTGTTAGCAGAGATACAGTGTTTAAAGAAGGTATATTTCCTTTTAAAGATCTTCAATCTTCTCCTTCTCCTGTGTTTCCTGTTCTACATTTTGTTGATGACTCTTCTAGTCTTCCTGAGTCTGTTACTACTTCAGATAATTCAAGTGATACCTCAGTCTCTACACCATCTCTAGGTTCTCATTCACTTTCTGAGATAGTTGTATCAAATTAAAATCAACCTTCTCTTAGAAGATCTACCAGACTCTCAAAACCTCCTAGTTGGTTAGATAACTATGTTACTCCTAGTACTAAAAGTGTATGTCTATATCCACTTTCCAATTATGTTTCTTATTCTAGACTGTCTCCTTCTTATACAGTTTCTCTTACTGCTTATTCCACAATTACTGAACCTAAGACATATAAAGAAGCATGTCTGGATCCTCATTGGGTTAAAGCCATGCAAACAGAAATTACTGCTCTAGAAGATAATTGTACTTGGACTATTGTTCCTCTTCCACATGATAAGACTCCTATTGGTTGCAAGTGGGTGTATAAAGTGAAATATCATGCCTCAGGGGCTGTTGAAATATATAAGGCCAGGCTAATGGCCAAAGGGTATAGTCAGCAAGAAAGTCTAGATTACACTGAGACCTTCTCACCAGTAGCTAAGATGGTAACTTTAAGGTCAGTTGTGGCCTTAGCTACTTCTAATGGTTGGTTTGTATTTCAAATGGATGTCCACAATGACTTTCTTCAAGGTGATCTTCTTGAAGAGGTGTATATGCAGGTTCCAGATGGTATTGCAACCCAGGGGGAGAAGTCTATGGTTTGCAAATGACATAAATCTTTGTATGGCTTGAAGCAAGCACCAAGGCAGTGGAATCTAAAACTAACTCAAGCATTGAGTAATATGGGATTTGCACAGTCTCATTATGATTATTCCTTGTTTACAAAGAAAGTAGGAAAGGAGTTGCTTGTTATTCTGGTATATGTTGATGATCTACTAATTACTGGCAGTAGTTTACAGTATATACAGCAAGTCAGGAAAGATCTACAACACAACTTTAAGATGAAAGATCTTGGTGAGCTAAAATATTTTCTTGGGATTGAATTCTCTAGAACTAATGATGGTATTCTCATGAATCAGAGAAAATATGCTTTAGGACTTGTATCTGAACTAGGATTAACAGGTTGCAGACCTGCTTCTACTCCTCTAGAAACTAATCACAAGTTAACTTCTATTGAGTTTGATGAAGGTATAGGAAAAGGTAGTAATACAGAAGATACAGTGTTAGATGACCTTGGAAAATATCAAAGGCTTATAGGGAGGTTGTTATATTTAACTATGACCAGGACAGATATAGCCGTTGTGGTTCAAGTGTTAAGTCAGTTTATGCATTCACCTAAAACATCTCACATGGAAGCTGCTATTCGAGTAGTGAAATATATCAAAGGAACAACAGGACTTGGTTTGTTTATGCCAAGTAGTAAAAGTTCAGAGTTAACAGCATATTGTGACTCAGATTGGGTTGCATGTGTGGAGTCTAGAAGGTCTGTAACTGGATATGTAGTGAAGTTTGGGAATGCTGCAATATCATGGAAAACTAAGAAGCAAAACACTGTATCCAGAAGTTCTGTAGAGGCAGAATTCAGGAGTATGGCTACAACAGTTGCAGAAATAGTTTGGCTGAAAGGCTTATTCAAGGAATTGGGAACAGAGATCAGGCTGCCTATAAGGTTGTTTTGTGACAGCAAAGCTGCAATTCAGATAGCAGCTCATCCTATTTTTCATGAGAGAACTAAACATTTCGATATAGATTGTCACTTTGTTAGAGAAAATATTGTGGAAGGACTAATACAAACACACTACATAAACACTAAAGATCAGCCACCAGACTTACTCACAAAAGGACTATGTAAACCTCAGCATGAAGCTTTTATTCACAAGCTTGGAATGAAAAATATATTTTCTTATTCTAAGCTTGAGGGGGAGTGATGAGATAATGAAAGTTAGTTAGTAAAAGTTTGTTAGTGAGCTGTAAAAGTTAGTTAGAATTCAGTTAGGGAGAATCTTCTAGTTACAACTTCTTTACTTGTATATAAATGTACATATCTTGGATGTAAAAGAATACACAATGAATGAAAGTTTTTTTCTTCTCTTCTCTTCTCACCATTAATGGTGATTCTCATCATAATCCTCCAGTGGAAAACCAACTATCAACCCAAATCTTCACTCAACATCATTCTTATAAAACAAATGGTTCATGATAAATAGAAAAACAATTTAGAAACAACTAAGAATTAAGTTTCAGTAAACTTAATCAATAGTCAAGATAGTTTAGACAAATAAAGAATTGAGTTATATGAACTAAACTCAATAGTTAAAATAATTATGCGGAGATAAACTTCCAAGAACTAAAAGTTGTGGTACCAAAACTTTAATGTCTAATATAAAAGGGGTTGCAAAACTTAAACACAAGTGTCTTAATAAAAAAAAGATGGACAAGAAAAAAAAACAAAGGAATCCATAGTAGTTCAGAATAACGCACCCTTGAATTTGAAGTCAGATGTCTCTTAACTATGGTCTTGAATCAAGGAGAAGCTCAGTACTCAACAAGAAAATAACAAGTGCAACATCGGTGTACTGGTAGGATTGCACGGCCAGTCTAAACTATTAACTTAAGAAATTTACCACAGTATAACTCGAAATAACACATAACAATTATCAATTCATATAGACTCCTCGTCACAGATTATGAAACAACAAATATATGGATGTATGTCGCAAATGATCACAAATACAAATTTTCGATCCTCTCATGGAATCAAATAAACATAATTGGTCATCTCATGGAACCAAACTCAATATGTTAGTACTGTTGGGATATCTAAGTCATCCTTATTTAGTGTACCTATGTTATATCTGATCAAACCATATATGGATATAAACATCTGATTAATTGAAGAATCAATGAGTTTGATTTGAAGAAAGAGTCTAAGACGCAAGGAGTTTCGCTTAAAGTAGAACTCTTCAAGTTACTATTGAATTGAAGTGTTGGATTTTGACTACAATACAAAAGAATCAATGAATGTAATTTGAAAGAGTCTAAAGAAGCAAGGAGTTCAAATTGAAGAAGGAGTCTTACTTGAAGTAGAACTCTAAGTCAATTGAGTTTAAGTCAATGAGGGGTTTGAAGTGAACAATAACTCTAAGAAGAATAGAAGTGAAGTCGTTCAGAATACTTGTGCACTTAGGCCTCATTTGTTTGCACTTAATAGAGGTTTAAATCTTAATCATTCAGATTTAGCCCATTAAGTACGTTTGGTTTTTAGGTTTGAATCAGAATCATTAAATTCATTTGTTTAATTTTTAAAAAAACTTTTAATGGGTCTGAAGAGGTCCGAACAAATCAGATCAGTAGGAGACTCTTAACAATATTCAGACTCATTTGATAAGTTGTCAAATGATACATCATAACTTCTCTACTTTGGGCGTGCCTTTTTTTCTCATAACTTAAAAAATTCTCTGTCTTTTCTCAATCAATCACCATATGTTTTCCCAACTGATTCATAAATCCTTTCAAGTATTTTTTTTTATATTAATAATTTTATGTATGTCAAGAACAATGATTGCAATAATATTTTTGGTGTATTTTTATTTATCAAAGTTTTTGAATAAAAACTAGTACTCCAAATCATGATTATTAAAACTTTTAAAACTTGTTTTTATCAAAAATGATACAAATTGTTGAAATGAAAATTTTATAATATTTTATTAATATAATGTTCTATTTCACTCCACATTCAGATATTGAAACAAACAACATTAATTATTTACTTTTCAAATTTAGAGACAACATCTTAATATTCAGATGTGTATTTCAGATCAAAACACTCAGATCTTAATGCAAATCTTAATATTCAGATGTGTATTGAGATTCAGACCTCTTAATCTTTAGTAGAAACAAATTAGGCCTTACAAAGCAAAAAAATTTTACTTCGCAAGTGTTACCAACGAACTGAAGGAACACATCGAAGAAATTGATCCTTTTACAGAATTTATGTGTTAGGAGTTTCGTTTATGAATGAGTCTTGATGTAATCTTAGTTCAGTGAGTTATAAACTGAATTACAGGAGTGTTGTCTTTAGGTTGTGATAAATCGAAGAGTTGGGAACGCATACCTTGGGGGGGCTTGCGTAGGAGGTTAGGACTTAGAGTTAGTTCCTAGGATTATAAGAGTTGTAATCTAAATCTATAACTTGAAGTTAAGGTAGGTTGCAAAGTTTGTAATCTATCTTCTGTGGAGGCTCGCAATTGATTAGTGATGTTGGGGTAAATCTTGTTGTGGAACAGGTCTGGTTTTTACACCTTTTGAGTCGGGTGTTTTCACATAAAAATATTGTGTTTTAACTTATTGTCCTTACTGCTTTGTTGAAACACATTAGGCAACTTGTTTCACACTTAGGTGAAAAGTTAAAATCAGTGAATTACTAGGTCATGAAAACTATTAATAACATTTCTAAAAAAATCATTAGAAATATCAATTATACATGTGCATGCATGGGACTAGATTTGAGTTTGAAAACTCAACTACAAGTTTCATATTTGATAATTGATACTTAAATATATCAAATTTGCTATTATTAATTCTTTTATTATCAGTCGTGTATCGCGTACTCAGGAAAATACTTTTTTAGTTAATGGAAAGACAAAGAAAATTATTTGTAATGATTAGGCTAATGTGAATAAAGGGTGTAATCGAGAAAAATATCAAGTTCTAAGAATTTGTTGAAGATTAAAAATCAAACAATTTTTTAATTAAATTCAAAGTTTTTCGAATATGTAACACATTAACAATTTTTAATTAAAGATAATAATATGGTATCCACCTATGGTGAGAGACTAGTTCACTAGAAAAAAAGTAGGAAAAATTACATGAATTAATATATTTTTAAAAAATAATTACTGATTTTAGCGATATTTTTTTGTTTATTATCATTTATAGTAATACTGTGATAAATCTGTGATATGTATTAAAAGTGAATATTAATGCAACATATTTGAATTATAATTGTTTTTGAAATCTATTGTGTTTGTTTGGTAAAAAATAGTCACATTGTATTATAAATGTATTAAAATGTGTGATAAATATACTATCCATTATTAAAACTTGTATTATATGTGAATAATAAATTGTTCTTTGTAATATATATTAAACTTGTATTGTAAATGAATTGAAAAAAAATGTTATTGCTATAAATGGTAAATATTTTTTTATTATAGCACATTTATCTAAGTTTCCCAAAAAAATAATTGGTTAAATGAGCATCCGAATATTTGTAGAATTTAACACGAACTTGACATAATCCTTTATTCTCGTATAATAAGCCTTTGATTAGCCACAAAATAAAATTCACAAATTTGAGTTTCTTCAACACATCAAGGCAGGAACAAGTGATGCTATGGCTACAGAGCGTTTAGAAGTGATAGGTCCACAATTTTGTGCACCATACGCGGTTGATTTGAGTATCGTTAAGCCCTTAAAAGATGGTTCTTTTCTTTTCAAGTACTCGATGTTAATGGAAACGTCGTTTTTTCTGTCAAAGGAAAGGTCTTTAGCCTACGTGAACGTAGAGTTTTGGTAGATGGTGCTGGAAATCCTCTTGTCACGTTTCAACAAAAGGTTAACTTTAATTTATTTGGTATTAAAAATTGTATTTATTAATAGTGTTATAATTTTAGGTATAAGTAGGGGGAGTATATGAAATTGGAATCATATCTCAATGGATTGTCATAATCATGCATTTGATCAAATATGAATTTGAATGATTTTATGTTAGATTTTGATTTCCTTCAAATTAAGATAATGTATCATTTTTTAGCCTTGTATATATTTTCGAGTAAATAATATTGAAATGACTTAAATCTTTTTATAGCTTTCTTATTTTGAAACACTTTTTTTCCTTATTTTTTTCTTTTTGAATGTTAAAGACAATGACATTAATATACTTTTAACTTGGTTTTTATTTAGACAAAATCTTATTACAGTAACTAATTTGTACAAAAGTAACTTCCCTTGCAAAATATTTTGCATACGTTACTTGTTGAATTAATATATGATTTTTATAACCTACATCCAGTTTTTTTTATGATTGAGTTAGAGTTAATGAATTGATTAATTTTATTTGTTATCATATTTGACTAATATCTTCAAACAAACTTTAGACTCAATTTCTAATAATTATTTCTCATAAAGTTAAATTTATTTTCGCGTCATATTGGACCAATATCTTTGACAAAATTTTAGAGCTAATTTTTCAGAAAGTCATATTTTATTATGATATAATAACTATTAGTTAAGTAACCATATATGAGAAATCAATCCGCGAACTTTGATATATATGTTCATTTGTTGCCTTTGTTTGATTTGAAAGCACAGCTATTGACTGCTCATCATAGATGGCAAGCATTCAGAGGAGAGAGTACAGACTCTAAACAATTGCTCTTTAGTGTTAAGAAGTCTGGACTTGTTCAATTCTTGAAGACCAAGTTAGATGTCTTCTTGGCTACCAACACTAAAGAAGAAGTTAGTGACTTCAAAATTGAAGGCAGTTGGAGGGAAAAATCTTGTGTCATTTATGCTTCTAATTCTACACAAGTTGCAAAGGTAAATCAAAAAAAAACTTTTCATTTTTCTTTCTTTCAAATTACAAGGGTTTATATCAAGTATATATAATTTACATAAATCTCCGGATAATAGGTGAATTGAAAATAATGAAATAAACACTCTAGCTGAGTTCGAATCAATGTCTTGTGGGTATATCCACTAGCTTGGGACTTGTGTGCTCTTGATGTGAACACTATTAATTATATCTGAATATCTATTAATCTCTCTCTATATATATACAACTTTTTTATAAAATCAACGGGTGCATGTGCACCCCCACCTAGAGGGATAGGTCCGTCTGTGTAAGTAGACATCCAAATATATAGGG